AATTTGCTTCTTTTTTAAGATATCTTTTATCTATCGCATACTTCATTTTAGCCAAAAAATTAGCTGCTGCGTTTTTAGAAAAACTCACAATTTTCGAAAATTAAGGATGATAAAGCAATTTCGGACACCGATTCTTTTCCAGGAAAGTAAATTCTACCAGAATTACCCAATGAACATTACAGATTGAAATTCGTTGTGTTCGTTGTTGAAATTAGTGTCGTTGGACACAAAGAAGCGAGAGTTTGGAAGAGATAGACGAGCTCATCCCTCTGGCAATTCTGTGTATCGTGAAATGGAAATGTCTTCTCCTGTTTCTGTATGTTTATGCATAGGTTATGTCACAGTTGGTCACAATCGTATTTTCACAGGAGGACTGTAATAACAAGCCGTCCTTTTTAGTTTAATGAAGACCTCATCTGTTAAGCTGGTGGCAGACCAGGTGAAATCCGTTTTATGGTAAACTTAGTGACCGACAGACTCGGTTGTTAACGCGTCATAAACCAGTCGCGAGATAATATCTGTGACCAAGGAGCAGATGCGAGGATCTGCTCGTTATGCTTCTTCGGTAGCTTCTTACGTACAGGGAACCAGTTTTCGAGATACAAGGTACCTCTTTCGTGACGAAGATAGTGGAACATTTTATGAAATATTTTAAAGATACTAAAAAATTTTTTCACGAAAATAATTTGATAATGTTAAACAGTTGCAAATATGTATTTACTTATAAATATATAAATATGTTATAGTGAATTACAGTATATTAGTATATAACATAATTTAATAATAATAAATATTCAAGAAACTACAGATTCATTTATAATTTAAACTTAATTCAGAAATGGGTTGAAGAGAGTTGAAGAAAGTTGGGAACAATGAGCTCAGAGAGTTAAATACATATTATCCTACACCTAATTTTATATACATCTCATTTTAATTCTTAAATTAAGGAAACCTTGATCACTAATAATTCCTGTGGCGTCCCTAGGACCAGTTCCAAGTCAAATAGAGAACTGGTTTATTTCTTTATTGTTAGTGTCCCAAGAAACTACAGATTCATCTATAATTTAAACTTAATTCAGAAATAGGCTGAAGAGAGTTGAGGAAAGTTGGGAACAATGAGCTCAGAGAATTAAATACATATTATCCTAGATCTAATTTTATATATATATCACATTTTAATTCTTAAATTAAGAAGGCCTTGATCATTAATAATTCCTGTGGTGTCCCTAGGACCAGTTCCGAGTCAAATAGAGAACTGGTTTATTTCTTTATTGTTAGTGTCCCAAGAAACTACAGATTCATCTATAATTTAAACTTAATTGAGAAATAGGCTGAAGAAAGTTGGCTACTACAGATTCATCTATAATTTAAACTTAATTCAGAAATAGGCTGAAGAGAGTTGAGGAAAGTTGGGAACAATGAGCTCAGAGAATTAAATACATATTATCCTAGATCTAATTTTATATATATATCACATTTTAATTCTTAAATTAAGAAGACCTTGATCATTAATAATTCCTGTGGTGTCCCTAGGACCAGTTCCAAGTCAAATGGAGGACTGGTTTATTTCTTTATTGTTAGCCTCCCATGACACTCGTTTCACCTGACCACTACTCGTGTTAACATTTGCAAGGTCAATACATCACTCCTGAGTCGATGGGCATAGTGGCCCAATTTGAAAACATCCACCACCACCGAAATATGTCGAAGTTGAGACATACCCCAAACACAATCATATTTACAATCAATACAGAAACACACACCCACTTTATTACTCACATTACACACCAACTAATCAGAACACATCCGAATTTATACAATCACCGAGACTGGAGTCGCATCAGTTTTCCCTGAAATCCAAAGTCCACCCACAACATCACGATCAAATTCACTTTCAGATCGAGAACAGTCGCACATTACAATTCAATTAGTTCAACCCTAACCGGATTCCTCTCAATTAACTTAGAGTACACAGCATCCGTTCAACACTGTCGCATAGGGGGCCTTACAACTCCGTGAAACTCCATGAGAGTTGCAGTGTTCGGAGGGTTGCAACAATTCCTTTCCTCGTAAGCAAAGAAAATTCCAGTTACAGAGGCTTATTAGTATTGTAGGATTTTTAGCTATATTAATCCTATGCAGACCAAAATCTGCGTGTCTAATAAAGAACAACTCTCTTTGATAACAAAACAAGTTTATTTAATTGACATAATACACCAGGTTCCTCTCAATTATAACACTCAACGTCTTGACCACACACACTCTATTCTCGACTACACCCCGTCTGCCTGCCTCGCGCCCTTGCATCCCTATTTAAAGCCAGATCTATCTCATTCTATACACACGCTTTCTCTCTCAATCATTCTACAGACATTTCGACAAAAGGATTTGCCGCTATCATTTGTTCTTTCTGTGCCAAACACCCGATACCGCCGTTCGCTACTCCTTGCTTTTCAAGGAGCCGCCCAAACACTGCCATGCGCTCCGTACTACTCATTCACCTCGTCAAAGCCGATGCCGCTGTTTATTATTTGATAGAGTCCTTCGCCATTCGCCACCCCACAGTATTAACCCTTTGCACTCGAGAGATGAGCTTCAGTCACCATTTCATAAAATTTGCAAGATCGATATTAATTAATATATCAAATTTAATGTAATGTAACAGTGTGTGCGAGGTATCGAAATCAAATAATTCTACGATTCTATTATTATACAATTCTTTATTTACTGCTCTTAAAAGTTTTTTAGTAGAGAATCTTTGAATTTCTGCTCTCCTTCAGCCAAAAAATCGTCGAGTGCAAAGGGTTAATTAATATCGAACTTTCCAATTTTATGAAATGGCGACTAAAGCTCACCTCTCGAGTGCAAAGGGTTAAAATTTCACAGATGAGTGAACTTTTAGACGAAAACACATTCAATTGGTAATATCCAATTTTCCAAGGTACATTTTGCCCCAGTTGCATCTGTCTGAGGAAAATGACTTCTTCTCCTGTTGGCTGATCATTTTCAATATGGTTCCTTCGACAATTTATGGAACCTCAGCAACGTGCATCCACAGGGCTGTGGCACACGTGCTGGGGTCGTTGGTTCCACTGGTGAGGTTGTAACGCGGTAATTGCTATTGAACAGGCGACAACGAGACCCTAATTTGTTATTAACAGTCAGACAACAGATGGCCAAACTACAGAGAAATGTCATCCATGCTGTCACCCATATTCACTGCATGTGATACAAGAAAATCGTATTCAAATTTTAACAAGTTCCTATCTTTTAGTACATTTTTCCTCCATAAATTGATCGTAAAATGGATCGTGAAAAAATTTGTTCAGAGAAGCAGCATTGTTTACGAAATAAAATAAAATAAAAATCAGCACTTCGAGTCTCGAAAGTTACGATAGCTTACAAAGTTGAAGAGTTTAAAGTTTATTCGAAGTTTTAAGAGTTCAAAACTCAGGTTTCATTTATTTTGAATTGATCTTTGTTGACTGATTTCAAGAACCAGCATAGAATTTAATGATACAGACTACGGATTTTTAAAAAATGTAATGGTGTATTGTAATACTTATTATGTATGACGTAAAATGACTGATTTTAAGAATTGGGATTGAATATAATAATAGGTCAGGGATTTTTGAACAGTGTATTATAAAACATACTAATATGTTGCAATATCCTTTATGTATGACTTGAGAATTTTTTACATACGTTATTATTATTATTATTATTATTATTATTTTATTCATACACGAACCGTAGTCCATTTACATAAAATTTCACGTATAAAAGAAAAGTAAACAAATTATACATAATATAACACTTAAGGGACGTGCTTATAAATGCTTTGTTCAGGAGGATTAGCTTTAATTAATAATCATCCATAATTGTCGTTTGGAAGTTTGTAAAGATCCATAAAAAAATTTATACAGTTATAAAGATTTTGATTTTGATTTCCATTTCGATTTCGAAGTAATGCCTAATTATTTAATCGAAGGTAATTACTGAATTTCTTTTTCCTTAGATTATGGGTTCAGGAACAGCAACACGCGATAAAACTAGTTAGGTTTTTATGGCATACCATAATTATTAGAAAATTTGTATTCATTTCAAATGAGAAATTAATTATATATTATCGGTAAAAAATATTCTACAATAAAATGAAATAAAATATTAATTAAAATTTGTTTCACGTAGACCGGTTAATAATGAAGAAAATTTTAATCTATTGTAACTTTATTTCATTACATTGATGAATATTTGAACGTCTCTTTCATGCAGAGTATCTGATTCATAATTTTGTATTTTGAGAGTGAAAAATTGATTTATGCCAGTTCAAAGATTGTCAAATAAAGGCAATATTTTTGGATATTTTACAAGACTATGAGGAAATAGCTCAGGATTGGTAGTTCGATGTAATTCAATTGAAAGCTAATCCATTCGTATTTCCCGATAACATAACATGGTCAAACCGCAGGCAATACAACGAGTTTCTCTCGAGGGAAATTGCAATTTGCTCTTAGGAATTGCTGTCGAAGAAACAGCAGTTTCCATTACAACCATAAGTATTTCATTTAAACATCTACTTATTAACCTGTTAACCAGGAAAAATGAGTTCAAATCTGGGACATAGTAATTTATTTATCAACCGATTCTCATCTCTTTATATATATATATTTCCAACGTTTCTGATTATTTGCAATATTATAATATTATAATATTACAATTCATATATTATTATCTGAGTATATACCGGGAATTATTTTTACATAGTATATTTTTTACGCGATTAACTTTTATATGGTTTTTCGACTTTTCGATGACTTTTTGAAGACTTTTTTAAGATACAATTTTTATATTTTGTTGCAGACACATTGTCTTATAATTTCTTACATGATTCGTGATATAAAAAATATTTCAAATGTATGCAAAATACTTCTACTGTTCCAGTGAAAATTAATTAAAGTGGAAAATAAGGAAAGCAAGAGATTTGGTGATAAACTCACAGGTATTCGTCGTAACTGAGGCCATTTTCGTCTCTGTTGGGGAAATCTCCGTAACAGATTACTCTTATTTCGCCATTTGCGAAATTTTGAGTATACGTTTCGTGTAGAAGAATAGCATCGGTAGCGACAGGATAACTCCTACGATCCAGATGACGACTGCTATACAGAGGGTAGCTCTTCTGCCCATGTGAGGTCTCAGTGGGTTCATGATGGCCATGTATCTGAAATATGACACCAGTTAACAATTAAAAGTTGATTTTAGGTTAAGGGAATTGACAAAGTAGTTAAACAAGATAAATTGCTGGTATTTTTATTAGTATGATGTTTGTGAATATAACATGGAATTTTTAAATAATATATGTTAAAACTGATATAAAAGATTTGAGTAAAAGAGATTTACAAGTCTATTTATTATATTATACAATAGATGTAATAGTGAATTTTAAGTATTTTTTTAAATAAATATAAATATAGAAATTTTTAAATAATGTATATTAAAATCAATATAAAATGTTTGAATAAAAGAGATTTACAAGTTTATTTATTATATTATACAATAGACGTAATAGTGAATTTTAAATATTTTTTAAATAAATATAAATATAGGAATTTTGAAATAATATATATTAAAACTGAAATAAAGGAGTAAAAGAGATTTACAAATCTATTTATTGCATTATTCAATAAGTACAATGATGATTTTTAAATAATTTTTAAGTAAATATAAATATAGGAATTTTTAAATAATATATATTAAAATTTAAATAAAAGGCTTGAACAGAAGAGATTTATAAGTTTATTTATTCCATTATAGTGATAATAAGAAGGTGAAAAGTGCAGAGATTTTAGTAAAGATGATTGCTATATAAAACAAGATATGAGAACTAATATAAAAGGTAGATAAGATAAATCATTAGTATTTTGATTGCAATGTTGATTTAGATTGATTATGATATAATGTCAATATGAATATAATATAGAATATTAATATAAATATGAGATACAATTTTTAAACAATACATATTGAAAGTAAAATAAAAGATTTACAAGTTTATTTATTATATTATGCAATAGTGACAGTGATGATATTTACTATACTATAATCTTGACTGACTTCATATCAGGTCTCTACAGTAAGTGCCTTTACTGACAAAAATTAAGAAACAAACCAATCATTTGCGACTCTTTGTTTTAACAAAATTTTCAATTTTTGTTCTGTCCATACTCTATTAGATATTATTTAGTACTAAATTTGTATAAAATACATGTATGTGTGTGTGTGTGTATGCCTGTGCCTCTCTCATAAACTGTCTAATAAAAGTTGGTAAGTTGGTAAGTGGTTTTTCACATGTACTCCTCAATTTATAACGAGATTGAGTTAAGTCACAGATTGTATCAGAGAAATTGGAAATTGATTTCTTACAAGTGATCCACGCGGACCAGACGGTAATACGATAAAGGAAATCACTTGCTCGCTGGAAGGAGCTTGGATTACGTGAAATTTCTCGTATCCTAAAGCCGATAATACAATTTTCAATAGCCAGCCATCTTCCCATGCGGAATTTTAACATATATTACCGAAAAAGATCAAATACAAATTTCCCTTGTGAATATGTTACATGAAATATTCTCCTTTTCCTTATGTGTCGAAGTCCAGATAACATTTTCCTATAACAGTAGCTTCGTGGTAACAGAAAATTTTGGAATTCATATTTCATTCAAGATACATAATTTTATTTAAGGAAATAAGATTGCACGAATATTACGATATGGAAGATGTATATCGTCAATAGGTCGTCCTCAATTGGCGACGGTTAATGACGAACCAAATTTCTTGAGGAAGGTTGTGGTTATATTGGACTGTATTTTACGTAGTAGTTTCGGATAACTCTTCTGAACTCTTCGAATGTTATTGACTGACTGACTGGTATTTAACTAACTTGTGCGATGCACGATCTTTCGGAGCCCATGGTTTCCAAAGGGAAATCGGTTTTCCCATTGGTGGTTGACAGGACCGAGAGTGGGCCCTCGGTCCGCGAATCAGATGCCCCCAAAGAAGGGAGGAACGTCTTCTGCGACAGGGTCTGCCGGTGGAGGAAGCCTCTCCCTCAAAGAGGGTTGCTGGTGGGTCACCCGCACATTCGTGACCCTTCCTGATGGACCCGTTACTTTATGGCTCCGAAAGTCGCGACATCGCACATGGCCTGGTCCCTTTCTTTGCGGGCCTATTGTCAGCCAAATCCTAAGTGCTGTTGCCTGCTTTCTAACATTAATGGCTAAAGAAAGCCTCGTGTCCGGTGACCCAGGGAAATAAAGAATTGTTTGAAAATGCATTGAAAATGAAGATAGAAAGGACACGGAACTTGAACTAAAACAGCAATTAGAATCTGGCTGCCAGGAGACCCTAACGGTCTTCTGGGTCTATTCTAAACAAAGGGCCGAACGAAATACCGGCACGACATTCCAAGATTTAACAGAAGAAATAAATTATTTTCAAGAATGTGATTACTTTAGTTAAGCATGTCCTCAGTATTTAGATTAGGAAGAACTTTAAATGATACATTCAAGCTTTTGTTTTTCTCTTTCGATACTCTATGGCGCTGTGAGTGTTATATATATGTAGGAATATTGGATAGGCAACAGAATAAGCAGTGATGTAAATATAAAAATGATTTATTCCAAACTAAAACTTATTCTAAGCGCTAATACCAATATCGATAAGAATATTCGTGATTGCTTCAGACATAGTCATGTGTCTCTCATGTTCTCTAAACATTTAGAGATCCTACATATATAAACTCACTCTACATATGTAGCATTATTATATATATTAATATTATATATTGCTATACTATTTTTATATACTATTTATTTATTGACCATAGTCCTTGCCTTTCGCCTATTTTTATATAAATACTGAAATAATAATATTATTATTATTCTATATTAATCATTGTCATTATATGTTACATATATTATTATACGTATCGCATTTGTTGCAGTAACAACTCGAAATTAATTAAAACTAGTTTCGATTCGTTGAAATTAGTTGTTTAATTAAGGTCTTTGGTCAACATTGTGGATTTGGTTTTATTAGTGTGAATGCGAGTGTGTGAGATCGAGTGATGGCACGAATGTAGATACGTATGTTTTTGGAAGTGCAAGTTAAAGATCTAAAATACGTAGTATTGTGCAATTGTTATAGGTCAGAGCCAATATGTTGTGAGGAGTATCGTCAGTTTTTTAGTAGAGAATCTTTGATTTTCTACCCTTTTCTAGCCAAAAAATTGCCGAGTGTAAAGGGTTAAGAGAGATTTCACCACACATACCACATATTTATGTAACGTGTGTATATTATAATTTGTAATACATATATAATTGTTAAACAGCAAACTCACAAATATTAGTTTTAATTAGTTGAAGCTGATATTGACTAATTTCGAGTTTCCACTGTAGCATATATGATAATGATAAAATGATAATTACGTTATTCTGTTCTTTGGAATATCCCAATAGTAATACTCTCGATTAAACATTGGACGTACATGTGAATAACGATGAACATTTGTAGTAACGGATTTTCTAATTACTGTTGGCTGACACATGGATAGACGACCGTGCAGAACGTCGACAACGCTCGTTGAGAATTTAGAAACTTCTCTGGATAGGACAGGACATTTTTTTCAGAATTGGACACTTTAGTTAACTGTCAACGACGATACACTGAAAAATGGACACACAAAGTACACAAAGAAAAGGCAGTTAGGAAGCATGCCAGGATTTTTCTATCGAACTTGAAAGATTTTTCTATCTGAATTTTAAAAGCAAAGCAACGTATTCAGGGTTTAAGAGGATATGACATTTCTGCTAGCTTTTAAGGTAGCTTTTATCCAACCCTCGAAGTTCAAGAATTCGCTCGAATTTTGTTGGAATTATATACTTCGATTTAAATTATTTAAATCACGACCAAGTTGCGATTCATTTTTACATAAAGAACCTAATAAATTAGGGTGAAATGTTCTTGATATCTTATGTAATTAAGGTACTGCGTGGAACTAATCTTGGACTCTTCTTGGACTTTAAGAACCGTTCAAGAAGTAACTTCTCTAAAGGAATTGATCAAGGAGGTTACCCAATTACAGCCAAATATTTTTAGTTTTGCGAAGTTTCCTTTATTCTCAATCGAATTTCTGAAGTTCGAAGTAGCCTCTTCTTGGTACTCGAATACTAGCGACACAAGTTTCGTAATCGATTCTTCAATGCAGGATAGATATCGCAGTACTAGCATTCCTTATAAGAAGTTACGGAAATTTGTTCAATATCAATGAAATTCGCTCGAAATTAGCGAACTGTGTCCAATCTTAGTGAAATTCATTTAGAAATAACGAAAATTGTTCAATGTTATGAAAGTAATAAAATTTGTACAATATTATGGAACGAATAAATTCAAAATTATTGAAATTCATTCTAAACATGTGAAATTTGTTTAATATTAGCAAAATATGTTCGAAATTAATGAAACTTGTTGAAATTTTTATTAAAAATTAGTTAAATTGATAAATTTTGCTCCATTGTTATTAACCCTTTGCATTCGGTGATCTTTTCGTTACAGAAACATAGTAATTCGAAGACTTTCTGCCATAAAGTTGATGATATTTTCAAAACGGTAAAATAAGAAGTGCAAATTAATTGTAAGATGTAGAATTATTTTACCTCGATATTTCACGAGTTGCTGGGCAATTTTAAATTCGATATGTTAATTAACAACGATCTTCAGATGCACATATTATACTTGAGTATATAATTTAATACACCCAAGGATGTCGACATTAATCCAAAATTTGTTATTAAATTTAATCTTACTCGATAAGAAAATTTAGATTTTTCCATTAAAGAAATATCATCAAATATTTAATTATATAATACATTCCTATATCATAAACTATTATCATTCAAAATATTAATATTCATTATTATTCGCAGGGAACAGAACAATTTGGTACTACAGAAATCTACCTATCTCTAATGCCAAAATTATTATCCCATTTTCCATACATGCAAGGTGCCATGCACTATAAGGAACTCCACCCCAGCGGAGCACTTGGTTTTATTAAAGTCCATTATACCACTGTTTCAACTGGGTGTTACCAAGGTGAGATTTCATGCGAAGCACACGTTGCCATAAATTTACCAGGTGATGATGGCCTTGTATCAGGACTAT